AACATTTTCGCGGATTTTTACTGTGAACTGGTAAATCCATGGCTTGAGTTTAATATTTCACAATGAACTAATGATTTACAGTACAAAGATATTTCGTTATTTTTGTACTTTTTCCTGGGATACCATTAGTTTAGTTAAAGTATTAATTTTCAAATTTTTATAAATTAATATGCCTGGTTTACCGGTTCGGAGCAAACTGAATAAAAATTTGAAAACATATCTCAGAGAGAAAATACAGAGAGAATATTCGTCCTCCTCTCACACTGGACATCTCGATCGGACGAAGATTTGAGCTTTTAATGGACTTCAGTCATTTTTTAAATAAAGCGACTAAGTGAGCCTTTTGAAAATTGTTTTCTCAAAGGGAGTGACCGGATATGTAAGGTAGTTGGAATGAGTATACATGGTGTTATGGAAAACTTCTTTCGGATTCATTTGAGGCATATAAAACTTTTTAAAGATATGCAAATCCTGAGTTTGAGCGCAAATTCGACGTTCAAAACTCCTACTTTGGGGGTGGATACGTTTTCAGAATTAGTTTTTTTAATTATTAAATGTCTCAAATGAATCCGAAAGAAGTTTTCCACAACACTGCATACTCAGTTCGACTACCTTACATAGCTGCTCACTGCCTTTAATATTCTAATTTTGATAACAGGTCTGCATGGAAAATAACTTGTGGTTGTTTGGAATTTCTAATTCCACACAAATTTAAAAAGTTTTTAAAAATTTTCATAATTTTCTTTTTTTCCATATCCCAAATTTTTTTCCTGAGATAAAATGTAATCTTATAGGTTAAAATTATTAGAAATTGTGATAAACGCCAACTAAATATAACAGTCTTAAAATGTTTTTCTAAAAATAAAAAAAAAAACCAAACAAACTTCAATATCTGTACAAGTAGTAAAGACTTATTTTCTGTGATAAGAAAAATTTGTATCTCTGAGAAAAAATTTACAAATTAACAACATCTTTACATTATTTAACAACATCTTTACATTATTTAACAACATCTTTACATTATTTAACAACATCTTTACATTATTTAACACTGCACTTTAGATGTTAGGTAATGAATAGTTAAAACTTATCATAAAAAAAATCAATAATTTTTCAAGAAAGGGGTAATTAAGGAGGGGCACAATGTTTCCGGGGGGGTAAAAACAATAATTTGCCATAAAAAGAGAAAAGTCGTATTATTAGCGACAGAGAATTTAATATAAAATAATAAAATATACGCTTTGTCACAACTCACACTCCATTGTAAAGACGGAGGTTAAAATATTACGAAAATGCTGGAACAACCTTTTTATATTGTAGCTCCTCTAGTTTTGATTTTACAGACAAGCATAAAATTTATTTTGACACCTACATGAAATTAGAAATTTGTTGTGCATATCGTCAGAAAGAGAAGTTATTTTTAAAAACATTTTATGATTTTACACTATTTAGTATTTATACAACTAAAGATATGTTAAATAAGTCAGTGTGAGTACGTAAACTATTTATACAATTAAAGACATGTTTAATATGTCAGTGTCAGGACGTTAAACTATTTATACAATAAAAGAAATGTTTAAGAAGTCAGTTATGGTATTTTTTGTGTTTTTTTTTCGCTTCCTAGTAGGGTTTCCAGCGAACGAAATGTTTCGCGAAAAAATGCAAAAGTTTTTGGTAGCATTTTTTCGCGAAAATGCGAAAATTTTGTGAAAACCATGAATTTTATAGATGCAACAATTAATTGCACTCAAAAGAACTTGTGGATTGCTCTGCTCTGATAGCTCAAAATTTGAAGTTATTGTCATATAAATAATTTCTCTTCCTTTACTTTAATAAATTTTGCATTTGTTTTTAAAAAATCTGTTTTTTTTTGCTTAATTTCCATTTGTTTTGCAAAATTTTCGCATTACTTTTTTGCAAAATGTTTGCATTTTTTTTCGCGAAATTTTCCCATGATTTTTTCCCAAAAATTTTCGCATTTTCCGCGAGCAAACGAAATGCGAAAATAAAGCGAAAAGGTTGCGAAAAAAAAAATTCGCAAAAAATGTAAAATTTTCGTGAAATTTTTTTTTCTTTTCGCTGAAACCCCTTCTTCTGAGCCTGTAACAAACAATTTTAAACAAATTGTTGACAAAATTCTGTACACAATTCTGAAATCTGAAATAGAGTAAGGTAATTGGATATAAGACGTTTTTATCCATTTTCTTCTTATATACGCAACAAAAAAAGTAAAATTAATAGCGATCGATATTAATTCGATATCAGCCTATACCCCTTTCAGTTTTCACAAATACTTCCATTAATACACATTTTCTCGGAGTGGTAAAAAAAGATCTGATAACAATATAAAAATACATTGTAATGGTGTGACGTTGCCGTGATGTTGTGTATTAGATAATTCTCAAATATAGACTGCACTAATAAGTCAAAATAAAAATTTGTGTACGTCACATGATTACATTTATTTTTTTTACCGCCCTTTGAACAAGATTACCAACAGAGGGCCGTTAAGTTACTTTACGTCCCTTGGGACAATTAATTATAAAATAAACACCCGCTCTGCGAAGTTTTTGTTTTCGCATTTTCATTCAAAAATACGATAAAAATATTTAAACTACTTATTCGGGAATTAAAAAGTTTTACATGACCGCGGGTTACCTCGACCAATTTTAGCTACAAACATCCCTCGCTGCGCTTTGGATGTGTGTAGGTAAAATGGGTCTTGGTATAACCCTTGGTAAACTGAAAATTCCGTAACTTACTTGTAAATAGTTGTAAATAATTATTACTGATTGTAATAATTTACAGGTTTTTTCAATTAATATCTTTCAACATAAAAATTATCCAGAATTGGAAGCAAGAGAAATTTTTAACTTTGATAAATGTTAATGTTCAATCTATTCTGCAGATACTCAAGCTCTATTTATCAAACACGTCAGTTAGGTGGATTTATTGTCTGCAGAAAAAATAGTTAGAAAATATTCTAGTTTTTCTTTGAATAAAAAGAACTAGTTTCTCTGAAAATGTGATTTTCGGATTATTTATCTGTTTCGCAGATAAAGATTTACAGGATTTATAGATTTAAAGACGTCTTCACCTCTCGTTTTTTTTTTTTACAAATTTTCAGTATCATACACCGCATAAATCTAAAATTATCTGGTACCTAGACCAGACAGCCAGATATTGAGCTCTCTGGCAATGTACTGTCACATAATTATTTACTTAAGATTGGTTTTGCTCCACTATTTTTGATAATCTTCTAATGCAATGTTTACTTGGTTTGAAAGAATGGCTAAAAGAAGAAAAAAAGATTTCTTTTACGGCACTCATCGATCCAAACTGCAATGGAAAGTTGCATCAACTTTTTAAATTTGGTCGACTTTAATTTGTCTCAATACCTTGTCCTTTGATTTTAACTCAATTTACCTTAAACTCATACTTTATGTAACAACAAGACTTGTACATTTTAGAAACAGAAAGCATTTGTTTTTACCTTTACATTTTCAGATGTAATTGGCAAATCTCATCAATTTTAGAGTAAGACCTAAAAACCTTTGGATCGATGTGACTTGGTTTAAAAAAAGGGAATTTTGACGCAAGCTGAAGGATGATTCTTTGAATGGAATTGGGTCTTCACCACAAACGCTAATTTTGTAATTTCTATATCTTTGAAATCTGAGATGGAATTTAAAGAATTTGAGCCGCGGTTTAAATCTGCCAAAACCCGGTTTAAATCAAGCGCCGGCCTAAATATTGAAATATTTGATACAATTTTAAGTGGAACCAACCATACTTAAGCCGAGGCTTAAATTTAAACCGCCGCTCAAATTCTTTAAATTCGGCCAAGGATTGTTTGATTTCTTAAACTCAGTTAATTTGCTCTGACAGAGTTCATAGTTTAAAATAACTAAGATCTACAACATTGATTGCAAAGATAAAAGGATTAAAAACTCGCAAGCAAAAAATCAATTGCTAATACTAAGGAAATGAAAAATAAACAGGGTCAGGATACGTTCAATAGTCTAAATAGAATTCAAATGTATTTAAATAACATTCTTTTTTAATGCTATTTTTACAAAAAAATATCTTATATGTACAATTAGTACAAGTCGAAGGATAGAATTATAACGAATACTTTTAAAACAATAAATTGATTAATAATTAATATTAACAACACTAAATTTCTATGACAAAATATTAGTGATAGAACAGTAAAAAAAAAATAAAAAAATAATTTGTACATGTTACAGATTATGACAAAATGAAATAATTTGTACACGTTAAAAAATACTGACATAATGAAATAATGTGTACATGTAAACTAAAATAACAAGTTCTTATGCATTGAAAATATATGTAAACATGTTGTTTATACACCAATATGGTTTTACATAAGAACCAGGAAATTCAGCAAAACGTGCGTTAAGTATGAGTCTTTAGAAATGTTTTTTTTTCTGTTACGAGTAGAGATGGGCATCGTTTTTTTACTAACGAACTCTTTAAGAACGAATATTATTTTTCTTTAGAAAAAGGGCGCCGTTCTGAAGAAAAACGATCTGTAAAATTTTCGTTTTTTAAAACAAACGAAAAAAAAGTAACGACTTAATTTTGATGTAAAGAACTCGAAAAAAAATCGTTTTTTTAATAAACGATCCGAATTTTTCAAAAGATTTGAAAAATCTATCGTTTTCTTACTATATGAACGATTTTTGGAACAAACTTTTTTAACAAATATTTGAATAAACAATAGATTATTGTGCTGAATGAACGAATTTAGTGAATTAAAGATTCAACTGAACAAATGATTTTACTGAATGATCTTTTCCACTGAGAAAACGAACGAAATAGATGAAACATGAACAATAATTTTGAGAACGAACTTAATCAATTTTTTTATATAATTGAAAAAAAAGAAGAAATGGGTCGTTCACGAAGGATAAACGAACAAAATGACAAAAATAATATGAGAAGCAAAAAATACAAAAAAAAATATTTTTTACCATTTTGAAATATTTTACTGTGAAAAGCATCAGAAACATTTTTAAAGATTTTTTTCCTTTTGAATTTTACATGTATGCATGAACAACAACATGATGGTTTAGATTTGTATAATTTATAAATAGTTTGTTGCACACCTTACAGGGAACAGGAGAGTTTAAACCACAGCTTCGTCTGTGTACTCTCAACCGACCACGAAATATAAATCTTTTCTCACACACATCACCTGAAAAAAAACAAATTATTATTGAACTTTTTCTGATACATGATATTTGATATTTGATATTTAAAAAATGAATATAATCAGTTCAATCTAAAATATTTAAATCATTTTAAGGTACTTCAATTATTTTCTACTTTTATAAGTGGATAAAAAGACAAAACAAAAAATAAGTCATAACTAAATTAATGAAATAAAGTGTTCTGTCTACGAAATAGGCTAAATTAGATATGAACCACTTAACAATTAATATCCAAGCATTAAGAAACTGATTTATAGACTCAAATTCTAAAATGTTTTCAGCCTAATGCCATGGACCTTTGATATTTTAAACTAGGAGTTATCAAAGAGTAAGTTGTAAGTTTGAATTAGAAGTGGTCATCAGTTCCATAACCGCATGTTTTTTGTTAAAGAATAATGTACTCACACCTATAGGGTCGGAAAATATCGCAACTTTTCTCATGCAAGTTCATAGATTCCATTTTGTCGAACAGTTTTCCGCATGCTCTACATGAATACTGCTCTTGTTTCATCCCACTGGTATGCATTCTTTTAATGTGCATTTTCAGGTTCTCCTCTGAATCCGTTGGTAGGTCACAGATAGAACAATAGAACACCTAGATACAACAGAAATTAAATCATGTAAGATATTAAAGGCTTGGGGGTCTGAATCTATTTATATAGGGGGGGAGGTATCCCACGCCCCCCCTTCTCTAGAAAAAGTGCCTTAGATAATAGGTACAGGGTTAAAATGCATAGCCCAATTTTTTAAGGCCAGATCATTGAAAAAAGAATTAGATCGATAACATTTTTAGTTTGGGTGCAAAAGAGGATTGAAAAATGCCGTAACAAAGGTCAAACAACTGTAAAAAATATTTTTTGTTTAAAACAAATATCAAAGTGTGACACATGTTTCTACATTAATTTTTCAAGGGCTTTTCAAAATATAGTTTTTACATAGCTGTAGCTGTTTTAAATTTTTGTTTTACACCGACCGGACTTTTAACCGCCCTCTTCCCTAGAGGGGGAGGGCGCCAAACCCCCCCCCCCAGCCTGTTTAGGGTTAAAGGGACTGTAAGCGTAATATCAAGAGTCATCTAATTTAAAGAAGAACGACCTCAATTCACGACGGTATCTATTAAACCTTTGACTGGTAATCGAGGACAGAGATCTTAGAGTATATTTCTTCTCAATTCCGTGGGAAAAGTCGTAAAATTGGAGTTTACGCTAGCGTACTGTGTGAACATGGCGTCACATATTTTCCTGGAAAATCTAGAATATTATTTGTCACACGAGGTTTTGAAAACTCCGAATATTAATATTCCATGTTGCCAGCCCCTTCTGTAGAAAGTATTTATTTCATAAATAAAAAAACAGCTTGAAAGCAAAGTATTCAACATTAAAAGCATTTCTGCAGAAAATTTAGGAAACGTCTGTCATTCTTGATAAGTCAAAAGTTTAAAGGGTATCGTTGTGAATCAAATAAATTAAATTCAAATAATGTCCTAATTTTCGGAATTAGGAAATAGTAAGATAGTTTCTTTAAAAAAATGTAACGAATTTTTTTAAGATTTTAAAATAGTTTTTTTCCCTCATACTCAAACATCAGACTATCTGTTAAATATAAAAACAAAAATTGTGCTTTTTCAGAAAAAATATTGTATAAATTTTTATTTTAATAAAAGAGAATATTTGGTTTTTTCAATAAATAATTTGAAAAACTTTAAATATTGGATCTGGAAAAATGCTTAGTTTTAGCTGTCTACGTCGTTTACATCATCAGTTTGAAAATTATAGCTGATTAATGAGATGGTTAATTTTAAAAAATTAAATAAAGCAAACAATCAAGTCAAGAAATGTATGAACAAATTATGAAAATATAAAAAAAATGAAAATATGAAAGAAAACAAAAAGTGGCACCTAATACCTGTTCCAAACAAGACGGCAAATCATATCTAGCCTCTATATTAGTTAAAATATTTGAACCAACTATTTTTCAGTGGCTGCCGCAGTATTTTGAGTGGTAATTGATAAGACTGTGACGAATGGGACATGCATTCACAATTCCCTAGGTTTTAAATCTTCGTCAACGCAAAAATTTACTTTTTGTGTTTAGGTATGCTATTATATTTATTCTATAATTAATTGTATTTTCCTACCTCCATGATAACTTTATTTTCACTCCACCTTCGAACAGTATTAAGACTCGACTCCAGAATTACATCAAACTCCTGACCCATCCTTCCAGAACCTTCGTGATAATCTCCTCTTATAAACCCATCCTTCTCTGCATCTTTCATCACATTAATGTCATCAAATCTTGGAGGCAATTTTTGGAACTGATGTCGGCCATCTTTAAAAAATTGCGGATTTTCAGCCAAGTCAGCTGAAAAAGATAATGGCCGCTTCTTTGGAATCGTAGGAACATGTTTATTGTTGTAGGTTGCAAAACTGGGAGCTTGGGTTTGTGAACTTGAGCGCAAAACAACATTTGGAGAAGGATTTGATGAATTATCATTGAATTGCATTGAACTATTTAACGATGATCTTGATTGAAAAACTGCTGAAGAAAATGGTGGATTGCCGTCTTGTTGAACACTAATATGTTGCGAATATGAAGGATTAAAATAACCCGGGGAACTTTGCATTTTCGTTGATTGGAATGGTTCACTGGGTCTCAAAGAAGTATTGGAAATGGAGTTAGGTACTTTATGCTCATTCTCATGAAAAAAGGAGTAACTTCGTGTGGAACCATTTTCAGAAAACAATGGGTTTTCTGAACAAAAAGGAGATAGTTGATCACACAATTGAGGTTCTAAGTTGCTTGATCTGCTAAAAGAGAAATTAAATGACTTCATTTGGTTGCTGGGAGTTTGTGGTGGGGTCAAAACTTGTGGTGGGTTGGAGTTTGTCCTTCGGGGTTGATAAACAGATGATTTTTGTGTCTCATGATAATTTTTTATAGACTCAGCTTCTGAATTTATCAGATATTGCAGATCATGTGGATACTGATATGCATCCTGGGGATTGTATTGATGCTGATAACCATGATGATCCTTCTGTAGAAGTTGATTCTGAAACCCTTGATGATCAGATATATATCTGGAAATATCATGCTCCTTCTGAATGAATGGTAGATTTGTTAGGTTTAAAGTAGGTGTCATTTCATGGTTCTGAGAAATCGGGTATTGCTGGAAATCAAGTTGAGGATCTTGACCAGATGAGGATCGGAATTGATCTTGTAAGGGTTTTGAAGTAGGATCGATTAACTGATTGTAGGGATCACAGACATTAGAATTGTTGGACTGAATAAGAAAATCAACAAATTGTTGATTTTTACCACCAGACTTTTCCATCTCTTCTACCTCATAATTCGGGATAAACCAAGATATTTTAGCAGCTCTTGGGTTCAAGTCAAAACCTGGTATTTCTGATTTACTTGAGAAAGAATGGATCTTTTCTTCTTCCTTTTCTCTTTTCCGTTTTCACATTTCTTTTTTAAATAACTTAATTATTAATAATGATTATCCTCTCAATTCTGATAATCAACTGAACCTTACACGTTTATTATTGAATATCATTGGGGGAATTGATAAAAGATCTCCTTTTTAATTTAAGCCATTTTAGACAATGTTCAATTTATCTATGCGTGACATCAAAGAATTATAATTTAAAAATAGTTATTATCAGAGGTGTACGCATTTTTAGTACTGCAGTGTACTGTCTCTGGGCTGTGAAGTAAACACAAGACGGATGTCACAGTCTGTCATGGGATCCATCTTTCACATAAAATATCAATGAAATATTCTGGTCATAGGAAGCTGTTATGTAAATTTTCAAGATTTTCAAAATTAAATGCTTTTATCCTCCTCGGGTACTAGAGGAACACTGATGCATCTATTCTTGTTTACAAACACCGCCCAGAGAGAACAATACGTACGCAGAGAATTCGCAACAGCTATTAACTTTCCTTGCCTTATTACCTTGCGTGACATAATTTAAATAAGTTATATAATACATATTTTTTTCTTCATTTTCTTTAATTCTCGAGATATGTTATTAATGACTCTTTTGTAAAAAAAAAAATTTTCTTCTGTTTAACAAGACAGGACTGGTATTCACTTCGAACAAAAAGATCATATCTTTGTATGTAGTTGCCTTGTCTTTTAATTTTTTTCCAATACAGGTCCAAATGGCTGAACTTATCCGGCAAACATTTTTGTGGCCACACAGAATACCCCAAAGGCATGGAATTAAAAATATTAGCATGGCGGGGTGCAACAACAACAACAAGATGGGGAGAGAACTGATATCCCCCCATACTCTGTACAGTAGGGGTGATTGATTTGTGACTTTTCAGCCAGCCGCCACTCGAGGTAGCTGCGTTTTTACTTTATAAAAAATATTGTAATAAAAAAAAATTAAAAATCGTCCATAGGGTTGCGAATTGACGATTTATTATGGGAGAAATCGCCGTAAGGTCTAAAAAAAACTATTTAAAAAATGAATATGATACATATCATTTTCTTGGAAATTTCATGCTGAATTTAGATTCGAAAACCATTTTTAAAAATATTAAAATCTAAAGAAGTTATGGCCAAATAACGATACTAAATTCAGGTTTCTTAACTTGTTTCATGTTTTTGATGAGTTTTTAGCTCTAACTCACTCAATTTTCAATTGTTTTAAAAACGCTTTTCTGATTTGAATTCGGCATTAAATTTCCAAGAAAATGATGTAACACATGAAAATAAAAAAAAAAATTTTTTTGTGGCCTTACGGTGAATTCTCCGATTTTAAATCGTCAAATCGCAACCTTCTGGACGATTTTGAATTTTTTTTTTAATTGCAATATTTTTCTTAAGTGAAAACCCAGTGACCTCTGGTGGGCGGTTGGCTAAATTCCAATATTGACCACCCTTACTGTACAGTCTTTACCCCTTTGAATTATTATGCCTTTGTTTTTTCTAATTATATATATAAAAAGTAATAATCTCGATTTGAGGGTTTCTTCGTTTTTTTTGTTTTATTACAATACATAAACCCCTGGACCGCATTGCAACAAATGCTGATTGAAAACTCGTTAGAACCGCTTCAATGATGTTAGCTTGGCTTGAAATCTAGTTAATAGGGTTAATTTTATACTGTCCAATGTTGAAAAAAGGAAACGTTTATATATTTCAAAATACGTATTCGTGATCTTTTTATATCCTCTCCGTAAATTTCTTTTCAAATTAACTTTAACTCTTTTAACCTGTTTTCGCTCGGTTCTCAAAGAGTTTAAAATTTTTCAATTTTCCAATAAAAAAAATCCTTTGATTCTTCTAAAAGCAGATACATTTTTTGAGAAAAGAAAACGAATATGAGTCACACTGTTTCTTTTCTTTTAATAATATATTTCTTTAGAAACCATTGCAGTGTTTTTGTGAACGAAATCAAATTAAGTCCTTTATTACAACTTTCAAAAAATCAACTTTAATATATATTTACTTCTCCTAGGAATACAATTACTGCTAGGAATATATTTACTGCTCCTAGGAATACAGTTACTGCTCTATAGGAATATATTTACTGCTCCTAGGAATACAGTTACAGCTCAATAGGAATTTATTTACTGCTCCTAGGAATACAATTACTGTTCTAATGGAATAAATTTACTGCTCCTTGGAATATAATTCCTGATCTATAGGAATATATTTACTGCTCCTAGGAATACAATTACTGCTCTATATGAATATATTAAGTGCTCATATGAATACTATTACTGCTCAATAGGAATATAGTTACTGCTCCTGGGAATACAATTACTGCTCTAAAGGAATATAGTTACTGTTCCTGGGAATAAAATTACTGCTCTATAGGAATATAGTTACTGTTCTATAGGAATATATTAAGTGCTCCTATGAATACTATTGCTGCTCTAAAGGAATATAGTTACTGCTCCTGGGATCTATAGGAATATATTTACTGCTCCTAGGAATACAATTACTGCTCTATATAAATATATTAAGTGCTCCTATGAATACTATTACTGCTCAATAGGAACCTTTTTACTGCTCCTGGGAATACAATTACTGCTCTAAAGAATATAGTTACTGTTCCTGGGAATACAATTACTGCTCTATAGGAATATAGTTACTGCTCTGTAGGAATATATTAAGTGCTCCTATGAATACTATTACTGCTCTATAGGAATAAAGTTACTGCTCCTGGGAATACAGTTACTGCTCTATAGGAATATAGTTACTGCTCTGTAGGAATATATTAAGTGCTCCTATGAATACTATTACTGCTCTATAGGAATAAAGTTACTGCTCCTGGGAATACAGTTACTGCTCTATAGGAATATATTAAGTGCTCCTATAAATACTATTACTGCTCTATAGGAATATATTAAGTGCTCCTATGAATACTATTACTGCTCTATAGGAATAAAGTTACTGCTCCTGGGAATACAGTTACTGCTCTATAGGAATATATTAAGTGCTCCTATGAATACTATTACTGCTCTATAGGAATAAAGTTACTGGTCCTGGGAATACAGTTACTGCTCTATAGGAATAAAGTTACTGCTCCTGGGAATACAGTTACTGCTCTATAGGAATAAAGTTACTGCTCCTGGGAATACAGTTACTGCTCTATAGGAATAAAGTTACTGCTCCTGGGAATACAGTTACTGCTCTATAGGAATATATATGCAGTACAGTAAAGTTCCATTTATCCCTCCTGTACAGTTTTTATTTATACATATGCAGTAAAGATGAATGAAATCAAACTAAGTTTCTAAAAAAATCTTCTCAAAAAGTAACACAATAAGACTAATAATAAAATCACATAGTTCATAGAATGCTCTAGAAATCAGAATATAATTTAATAAACAACTATTCATTGTTTTCGTGTAACAGAGCAAATGCGTTCTTTTATTGAAAACTTGACAAAGTCAATCATGTTTTTAACTTCAAAATAATATGTATTATAGTTTATGATCCTTCTCTTTTTGACAGAAATAACATTTTATCAGATTTAGATGTGATGTTTTGCATTATCATTTTTAAGTTGTTACTTTTGAATTCAATGCATATATCATTATAGTTTGATTATAATCTAAACTTTCATTTCCCTTATTTATTAAATAATTATAATCAAATAATTTGCTACTTTTTTTCTTAATGACCCTATTCCTGCTGGGGGGGGGGGGGGTCAAGTTCATCCCCTCTTTTGTTTGTTTTACATAACTCAAGAAGTATTGGTCTGAGGCTGTTGAAATTTTCTGACTTTTTCTAAATACCCATAGCCCTATCCTATGGTATAAAACCGGACTTTTATACTAACTGTATGAGTCCTCAGGCAGACTGCCTGAATGACTGTTTTTTCCTGTGACAAACTAAATCTTTGTTTTGATCCACTTATAGTTGTCAGATCTTGATAATTTTTAGATATTTAGAAAGCTTACGACATACGGAAATGGATTGCACAAGTTTCGCAAAGAAAATTTTGCAAATTATTTGTAAACAACCGTCAAAAGAAATTTGCACATTTTTAGTTTTTCCTAATAACACATCAGGTTATTTAAAATTTTACAATTTTTTTTGCATATTTAAATGGCATGGTCAAGGACTGGTCAAGGACTTTTTAAAAATGTACATTTTATAATTTTTTGGCGTTTTTTTTGCTAACATTTTATTATATAACTGGATTTTGCCAAAACAATTTCAAATTTTGCAAATTTGCAAATTTTCAGCAGATTCTCAAAGTAGAGAATAAGATCTTTTCTAATGGTATATTACTTGTTATATTTGGACATCAAAAATGGGATTTAGCGTAACCTGGTATTCAAGCACTCCAGCAGGGATGGGGTTACAATTTAGATCTTAGGTAAATGTTCAATAAACAGGGGAATTAATGTTCTCTTATTTCTGACATTTCTACATAAAACCAGCTTGAGAATACAGCTTTAAGAGGTAACAAAGCTTTCCATGTTAAAGTCTTATAACGCATCTTTTAACTTTTAAACTAATTAATTTACTCCAAATAAATTCCAAAACAATAGATAGCAACGTAGAATTTGTACACTCTCAGTACAGTTGCATTCTGTCGTCACAAGTGTCAATTCAGTTTTTGTGTCCGACAAAATTATTAATAATAGTGATAATTTTAGAATAAAGTGTTTTTCTTACAGTAAAATAAGTGCAATTTAATGTGTTCTTTATTTTGTGTTTTTACACTTTTTTATTTAATCTTGGAAAACATGTCAACTAATGTGAGTCAATTTCGTTTTCCTTGTTATATTTGACACTTGTGAGTGTGACGTTGTATAAAATTGGTTCATTTCTCTGTTGCCACCTATTGTACTTGATATCTATTTGATTTACTCAAGTTTTTTAGTATGACAAATTAAGCATGTATTATATAATAACTGAAGGATTTTTCAAACATGTAATAATTTGTATAGAATTTGAGGAAAGAATTTATATTGATCATTGACAATATTGATACTTTGCAAGAAACCTTCATATTAAAGTTTTCCATGAAAAATCTTTTTAAATTT